AGTGGGGCTCGAGGCCTCCTCAGATTCCCCCCCCCCACACACACACACCTGTGTCCCTACATTTCTGAACCTCGCTTGCAGAATAAACAGGACTTATAGCGGAAAAAAAAAATCAAGACAGTGTATTGGAAAATCAAAAGAAGCAACAAACAGTGTAAGGAACTCATCAGGTATCTTAAAAATGAAGTTTTTCACACATGGATGAATTATAAGTTACATATGAAAAATGTAGCTGAGATAAGAAGACAACTTTAACAGATAATAATATACTGCTGGAAGCCGGTCCATGGTTGCTGCTTGACACAGTCGCTGCAGGGAAGAAACATCTGCACAGCACATGTTCCAAGGGACCTGGCATATCTGGCATACTGTTCTTAATATGTTTGCTCCCCCTCTTAGCGCTATGTGTTTTAAACAAGACCACCTCCCCAAGAAAGGTTGTTTCCCCAGGTGAGGATTTTTTCCCTGGAGTTAGGGATTAACAGGACTAAGGGAGAGAATAAATCAGTGAAACCCCCTAGTGTTACAGAAATACCATGTACTACTTATGAAGAACTTGGGCTAAGACTGTTGGCAATAAATTTGGGACTTGTTGGGCCCACATCCCCAGGGGTCTGCCCACCAGGGAAAGGACCAAAACCTATACCCCTGGAGACTCACCGACACAGGGCAGTCCCAGGGAAGGCAAGCAGCGAGGCTGGGAGGACATAACCTTTACTGGGTAAGATAATCTCCTTCAGTCACTTCCTTGTAGCTTATCAGTAGACCAGTGACCTTGGAATAGCCCTTATAATGGAACACAGAGATTAACCTAGACAGGATTAAACTCAACAGAACTAGATTAACAAACACCCTAACCTTTAGAATAGAATGGATAGGATTAAAATCAACTGGTATAAACACAGATGTAACAGGACAATAAAGAATAGAACCTGGCTACAGAACCTGGCTGGAGAACCTCACTATGCTAATCAACTGAAAGCCATGTCCTTCCTTCTTCACCGACTCTGTCCACACCTTTGGGAACCCCTGGACCTGCTGGGGCTGGACCCCAACAATATACTATGAAAAGATACAAAATGGGCATTCTAGAACAAATGAATATATAACTAAAATCAGGAACCCAGTGGACAGATTTATCATGACGTTAGACACATTGAAGAGAGAATTAGTGAACTGGAAGATAAGCATAAAAATAATATATACAGAATTAAGCATGAAAAGAGGAAAAGATAGAAAAACATGCAGAGGAAACAATGTAAGAGACATAGGGGAACAATTGAGAAGCTCAAAACCTGTATATTAATAGAGTTCCCCTCCCCCTAAAAAAAAAAAAAAAAAAAAAAAAAAAAAAAAAAAAAAAAAAAAAACCAAGAGAAAGATAATAAGTGAGAAACGATATTTGAAGTAACAATGAATGATATTTTCTTTAAAAAAATCTGTGAACCCAAGCTGGATAAATATAAAGAAAACCACACTAAGGAATATAAATATTATAAAGAAGTAAATATTAGGAGGCACAATGACAGAGAAAGCATTATGTAACCAGCTAGAAAAAAAAAAAAAAAAAAGAAAACTTAGACCACCAAAGCAACAACAATGAAACATAGCTGACTTCCCTACAGGAAAAAAAAAAAAAGAAAGAAAGAAAGCCTGAAGACAATGGAACGATATATTAAAAATGCCGGGAAAACACCTGCAAAAAGTTTCTATAAACTGAAAAATGATTTTTCAAAAATGAGCTTGAAAAAAGGTTTTCTCCAGTAAATGCAGGAAAGTTTTGCACTCACATACCCATACAGAAAGAAATACTTTCCAGCTGTATGACCATGGGAGAAGAAAATTATTCTACGTGGAAATTCAAGATACAGAACGTATTTAAGAATATCAAATAAAAGAATTATTCAATTTTGATATACAACTATAATAATATTACCTTGTGGGGCTAACATATTACAAATGAGTTAAAAGGATACATTGATGGGAAAATAAAATGAAATAAATAAGGATAAAAGCAGTTAAAGGGTTCTAAGGTTTTTGCATTGTCTGAGAAGAGGTTATACTTATTTGTCTTAGACTGCAAGAAGTCATCTTTGCATATTGTAAGAAATAATAACAAGAGAATATATAGCTACCAAGTTAATAGCAGGAGGAAATGGAATTATACAAAATAATTAAACAAACCAAAGAAAAGACATATACTAGTAACTTGAGTCTCAGACCTGGCACTCACTGCTTTAACCTGAGTCTAGGCTTCTCACCTTCCTCCCTGAAGAACATGAACTTCAGCATCCCCTCTAGCGTCTCCACAAACTACCAGACCCTGAACTCTGTGCAGTATAACCCAGCCACTGGGCCGGCTGGCCAGCAACTCAACCCAATGTCTATGCAGGTGCCAGGGGCTTCGGCTCCCCGATCTCTGTGCCCCACTCCACCAGTGTGGGGGTGTCTGGGGGTCCAGGGCCTGGCTAGGGGGATGGCCAGGGGTCTAGCGGGTATAATAGGGAATGTCTAGAGCGAGAAGGATACTATGAAATACCTGAATGACCACCTGGCCTCCTACCTGGAGAGGGCGAGAAGCCTGGAGGCTGATAATCAGAGACTGGAGAGTGAAATCCAAGAACACCTGAAGAAGAAGGGACCTGGTCAGAGACTGGGGGCATTATTTCAAGACCATCAAGGACCCGAGGGCTCAGATATTTGCAAGTTCTGTGGACAATACCTGCATTATTCTGAAGATTGACAATGCCCATCTTGCTGCTGATGACTTCAGAGTTAAGTATGAGATGGAGCTGGCCATGCACCAGTCTGTGGAGAGTGACATCAATGGGCTCTGAAAGGTCACTGATAACACCAATGTCACTCAGTTACAGCTGGAGACAGAGATCGAGGCTCTCAAGGAGCAGCTGCTCTTCATGAAGAACCATGAGGAGGAAGTAAATGGTCTACAATTAGACTGCCAACTCTGGATTGACTGTGGAGTTGGATGCCCCTGAATCTCAGGACAACAGCAAGATCATGGCAGACATCTGGGCCCAGTATGACGAGCTGGCTCAGAAGGACCGAGAGGAGCTAGACAAGTAGTGGTCCCAGTAGATGGAGGAGAGCACCGCAGTGGTCACCTCACAGACCACTGAGATAAGGTCAGACATAGGGTCCTGTCCTTAGAGATGGGCCTGGACTCAATGAGAAATCTGAAGGACAGTTTGGAGAACAGCCTGAGGGAGGTGGAGACGTGCTATGCCGTGCAGGTGGCACAGCCTGCCTCACTACTGAGGGCAGCGGGCCTAGGGGGAGCAAATGGGCTGGTCAATGTGGAGCATGGGAGATTTGTAAAACTAGTGGGAGGTAAGATAGGTTTGGAAAGATGGGGCATGTTTAGGGAAAACCTGTAATTTATTTACAGTGGATAATATATGAGATAGATTTAGTTATGATTATAATCAATGAAAGTTGGTATATCTGTACTTAATGGTTGTGAAAAATAAGAATTTAAAACTTGTCATTATCAACTCCACTAACAACCTTTAGATTATTGGGATAAGTCTATTTTATCATCTACTATGTGTGTTTTTTTTTTTCTTTTTTGAGTTCCTTCTTTCTATTTATTTATTTGTTTGTTTTTAGTTGGGATGACATTGGTTCACAAAACCATCCATGTTTCAAGTCTACAACTCAGTAAAACATCATACCATAAGTATTAAACTTCCCTTAACCAACCTCAGATAGGTGATTAGGGAACTGGGCACTGCAGAAAGTGCCCGGCCTCGAATTCTGCTGTCACATTTTGCATACAGCTCTTTCCAGCTGTATGACTATGGGCAAAGACTCAACTTCTCGGTGTCTGTGTTTTGTTTTGTTTTTAATCTGTAAAATGGGAGTAATAGGAGAACATAACTAACAGGCTTGTTCTGAGAATTACATGAGTTAATAGTCCTAAAATCTGAGAATAGAGACTGGAGTTCAACAAATGGCTGCTATTTTTATTGTTACAGTTATGACTTTTACATGGGAAATTGTTTTGTTATCGGAATTAAATGCTTATTCTGTAGGTCCAAGGACACCAAGTGAACAGCCTTTATCACTGGCCTTGTTCTGTCCTCAACTCTGAACCAGGAGCTTAGTAATATCTCATGGATCTCATCTATCCTGTGTGAAATATATTTGCTGAAATCTGGCAAACAATGCAGAAGTCCAGCTTATGTGTAGGCTTTCTGCTTGGCACTGGGGATAGTGTCCAGTAAGACACAGGCTGTAACCTTGAAAGAACTCACAGACCTGCAAACAAAGAATTTCCATAAGTAAAGAATTTCCATGCAGTGAGATATGGCTAATAGGAGGAAGAATGTATCTCAGCAGTAGGATGAAAAATGTGCTTTGCAAGCAGAAATGAGGGATACAGTAGTCTCCTCACTCTATTATCTCAGGGGATAAGTTCCAAGACCCCCATTAGATGCCTGATACTGAGGATAGTCTCAAACTCTCTCTCTCTCTCTCTCTCTCTCTCTCTCTCTCTCTCTCTCTTTCTCTCTCTTTCTCTCTCTTACTCTCTCTCTCTCTCTCTCTCTCTCTCTCTCTCTATATATATATATATATATATATATGTATTTTTTTTTTCTATACATATTTACCTTGTACTTAAAGGAAGCACTTGATGTCTTCTCTTTGGCATATCCAAATTGCTAGCACCACTACTCTTGCACTTTGGGGCCATTAACTAAAATAAGAGTTACTTGGATAAAAGCACTGGGATACTGTGACAGTTAATCTGATAACCAAGACGGCTACTAAATGACTAATGGTGGATGTGGTGGGGTGAGGGGTGGGGGGCGGAGAGCATATACAGCATGGAGAAGCTCCAGACAAAGGACAAAGGGATGATTCACATCCCGGGTTGGATGGCATGAGATTTTTATCACGTTAACACAGAACGGGGCACAATTTAAAAGTTATTAATTGTTTACTTCTGGGATTTTTCATTTAATATTTTTGGACTGCAGTTGACTGTGGGTAACTGAAACTGTGGACAGCAAAACTGAAGATAGGAGGGGATTCCTACATTTTCTGGCCAGGTAAGAACTGGAAGGCTTTACAATGGATTTGGAAGGAGAGGATAGTGGCATAAAGAACAGCATGCACACAGAGGCAGAAAGGCGTGAAAGTCCAAGGCATGCTTGGGGAATGGCTAATTGCCCTTTGTGCCGGGTACCTCAGATGGCTAGAACGGGAATCAGCATTTGTAAAGGCTGGAGAAATAGGCCAGAATTGGGTTGTGATTGCTTTTCCATGGAATTTAGAATTTTTTCAGAATTATTTTAAAGGCAAATCTTATACAGCAAACCTTCAAATAACATCATAGTTAAGGTATAGTTTATTGGACTTTAAAGTTTGAGTATGAGTTTCCTAAGTAGCCAAGTATTGAGAATTTAGGGTTTAGAAACAGAATTATTCTTTCTTAAACTAAGTTATATTATGACCAACTAAATGTCAACTCGTACTTGCTGAACTGTATATGGTTGTGTAGGCTATGATTATAATATCAATGATAAAAATAATAGCACGAGTAATAATAATACCATCTAACATTTATTGACAGTGTTTTATGTGCCAGAAACTATTATGACTCTTTTAGCCCATTAGCATATTTAATTCTCACAACACCTCTTTGAGGCAGATACTATTACAATTACCTCAGAAAATATTTTTCTAAACAAGTAAAAACATGATACCAATGGTAATGGTAGGCTATGTTATTTTCTTTATGTTGTGGACCTCAAGAAGAAAGATTCATTTGATGTGAACCCAGAGAAGAAATGTATCTGCTGCGATGGACTCCCCACGGTCTCAAACTAGGTGAAATCAGTGGAGCAGCCACATTTTACGAACACTGAGAGTCTAGCAGCTGACAGGGGCGCCCCACGTTCTGCTTATCCCAGGAAGAACTTCAGACTGAACTCTTGGCTTCCTAAGCAATGCTCTACTTTACACTGCCTGAGCCAACTGTTATAAGGGGGTTCCTGGTATCCTCTTCCCACCAGTGGACCAAGACCTGCCCCATGCAATCAGAACTGCTCCGTAACAACCAATCAGGATGCATAATGCTGACCAACCAGGACTGTACAGTTCAGAAGTGTATGAATTTGGATATTTCTTTACATGACATGGACCTAATTAGGAACTGTGTCAGGAACTTTCTAGCTACAAAAAGTGCCCTTCCCTTTGTGTAGGCAGAACATAACTTAGGTTGCTAACTCAACCTGCGTCTCCTGGGCTGCATTTGCTCAAATAAATGTTTATTACTCTTTATTACAGTCTAAAATTAATTTTGGTTTACAATGTGTACACCAGGCCTCATCAACCTTTTATTTCCCTTGAATGCCCATCTTTTCTGTAGTTTTATAAGATAGGATAGATAGAGACAGAGAGAAACAGGGAAGGTCTTTAGAAAATTATTATTCCTAGCTGAATTTTATTTATCTTTGTAAAAATGATTTAGAGTGAAAAAAAAAAGACAATTCTATCAATAAGAATAGTATTCTAACTTGGTGATTTTGACTAGGTTGAGACTGGTAGGTGCTAAATTAGAGATTATACTGGGTTTCAAACAGGGTGAGTTTTGTCTTCTGTATCTGCCTGTCAAGCCAGACTCAAAGCACTACAATATTATATCATTCCGCCTTTCCACTCACCACCTTTGCACAAAATCAAGTACCAACACAAGATAGTCACTCACTTTCCATTTAGGAACATTTACCTCTTTGTGGGAAAAATAGAATGAACATTTGGGACTCTCAAAGTACTACCAGGAAAATGTCAATGGACATCCACTTAAAATTAGACTTAATTCCACAGGGAAATTGTGATGGAATAGTCAATTTAGAAATTTAAATCCCGGGCATAGATTCAGAAATGTTTAAGAACCCTTGCTGGAGTAAGTATTTGCTTGAAGTTCTTTTTAATCCCCAGCAACTGTGGGTTTAAGATTTTCACAAAATGAGAGGAAAGAAATTATGTGTAATTTTCTCATCTGAACTAGTCTCCTTTTGCCTACTGCTTTCCAAACTTCAGCTACTTAGCATGTCAGCCAAATCCTGCCGTGAACATCACTTTCCAGCAATTTGAATGGGAAACCACAGAGCCCCCGTGCTTTCAAATTATGCACTGACAAATCCAGAATAATCAGGGGAAGCACAAGACAGATTATGTTTTACCTATGGTGAAATTTAGGACATGCCACAAGTAATTGATTCTTTTTCTAGGATAATTTACGAACAAAGGCTTAAATTTGACTTTTTAAACACAATGGCAGATCACTATTTTAACATTAGGGTAAAGTCAGAATAATGAGACCTTTTCTGTTATTCTGACCAATTGTTTTCTTTTTGCCACCATTGTGCTAGCCCCTCTATGTCAGCATCAGTCACTCTGTTACGATTCTTAGTTTGTATGGCATTCTCCACTATGTGAGTTCCTCCAGCATAGGGATCTATTCTTGTTTACTCTTGTGAAAGGCATGTCAGTATTTGCCACAATGTCCGGTCTATGGTAGGCAGTCAACCAATGCTGTTGAATGTATGCGTGAATACATGTGCGCGTGTTGTGGCAAAAGCAATAGTTAGTGGTCCTGAATTCTACTGAAGCTCTGTCATTAACAAAGTTTGTTGAACAGTTGATTTAATGTTTCTTCACCAACAAAAGATGATCTTGAAAATTTCTTCCAAAAAACTTTTATTTCTATAGCAAGTGATTTATAGCATTTTATAAAATGTGAAGTGTGAAACATATAATGAATAAGTAGTTCAAATTTTGATATCTGACCACCATGTTTAGGAAATCTGACTATTGTGCACCCTCCCCCTCCCCCCACACTTTGCCAAATATTTCAATTCCTTTCCTTTCTGGCTCGTTTTGTTTTTCCCCCCCACTAATTCTTAGAGGAAGAAAAGAAGTGAGGAAAACAGTCATTGTATTGCGAATACTGAAAGTCAGAGACTTTTTTTTTTTTTTGGCTTGAATTTTTTTATTGAATTTATTGGGGTAACATTGGCTAATAAAATTATATAGGTTCCAGGTGTCAATTCTATAATACATCATCTGTATATTGTACTGGGTGTTCACCACCCCCCTGGACTTGGAGAGAACTTTGTTCTTCATGCTGGCAGCTGGGGGCTTCATTTCTTGGAGCTCGGTTTTCATGACAGCCTAAAATAACAAGCTAGCCCCTTGTGAGTGCTATAATTCTACTAGAATTTATGACAGTGAAGAGAAAAACAGTGGGAGAAGATTGATCAAGTAGGATTATTCAAACCACAGGTTGGTTATTGGGGAATATCGACTTGTTTTTAAAATCATTCTTACAATTGTGTATAGGTGACGATTGCCCCAGAAATTTTCCATGCTTTTGAAAAGCTTGCATAATGGCTTGTGTGGCAATTGCAAAATCATCCCTTGATGTGAATTTAACCCAGAGAAGGAAATTTCAAAATGTGTCCTTCTCAAAATTTTAGGCTTTTCCTCCTGCAGAGATGGAGGGGCTAGGGGGGGATGTTTGTGGAAGCTAGGAAGGGGGAGGAGTTTGTGTAATGAGTGGAAAAATCATCCAAGAGTTTATAAACAGTTGCAGTGCATTGAGGCAACCACATTTGAGACTGTGGGGGGAAAAAAAAAGAAACATAAACCCATCATTTGCCCTCATTTCAGCCAAGAAGGAGATTGTCCATTTTCTGTTTTGGTCTTCTGTGTTTCAAAGATTGATGTCAAAATAAAAACAATAAGACACTCATGGTATTTTCTTTCCTAATTTGCCAATTGAAGATCAGCTACCCAGAAAGCAGGGTTCTGAGTGCACTACAGATGAGTTTTTTTCAGAGCCTTTCTATTAGCTGCCATTTCAGAAAAGTTTTTTTCTCCTTAATTGCAAGAGAGCAATGAAAGGCTCAGTGAGACATTTGTTATCAGAAATCAGGGGGGAAAGTTGGTGGTCTATAATCGAAAATTGAAGGCCTGAGATATTTTTTTCTAGAATGATCAAAAGCAAATCGATACAGAAGATATTAAGCTGATATAAGAGAGCTCCCTCATTCAGGGATTGCAAAGCCAGCTACTTATTGTTTCCCCAGAAAGTCTTAAAGCTTGAAAAGGAGAAGCCTTTTAAAGCCTTGTCCCTTCCGTGTGTGTGTGTGTGTGTGTGTGTGTGTGTGTGTTTGTGTGTGTGTAGTGTGTGTATTTGTGTGTGTGTGTGTGTGTGTGTGTGTGTGTGTTTGCTAAATAATTGAAACAAACAAAAAGACAACTCTCCTGGATATTTTTCCCCTCAGGCAATCTCATGGGGAACCTTTCCTTTTGCAGGTTCAGGACAGCTTGGCCTGTGTAAGACAATAGATATGCAAGATAACAACAGGGCAGTTGCTCTGAGGCCTTGGCCTTTATCAGGATTAACTGTTACACCCCTGAGCAAAACAGGGCGGCAGGGTTTTTCCATCACCGGCCTTCGCTGTTCCTGGGTGCCAGATGGCATTATATCCATGAAAAAAAAATGCTGCGGGTTATAATGTTGACCAGGCGCTGTTACTTCCACTTGATCACACTGTTTGGGGCTCTCTTTGATGTACAAAACACTTCTAAGATAATGAAATGCCTTGGCAGCTGGCTAATGGCTGGGAAAGTGCAAACCCTGCACTGAACTCTTCCACCAGACTATTCAATGGCAAGGTAATGTCAGGCCCACGCTGGAGAGGGAGCAAAGAGGCTAGTTGCCAGGCAGGCCCGGACTCCTGGACAAGCGGCTGTGGAGGAGCTGGTATTTTTCTCTCTTCAATAGAAGCGGTCTGTGCCTGCAGCAAATGAGAAATAAATCCACCAAGGCCAAGCCTAGGCTTACTTTTTTACCAGCTGCTGGAATTTGCATAAGAGCCTGTGCACACAGGTAAACAAAGACAGCCTACCCATGTAGACCTGAGAACTGTTAGTTTCTGTTTGTGTACAAAGTAGGGCCTCATCTTTATGCAAAAAAGAATTAAAAAAGTTCTGTGAATTAAATTTGACTTTGCTGCTGCTAATCTTTTCACTGGCCTGATTCACTGGGAAAAATAGAGCATGCATAATTGGATAGGGAGGCATGTTCTCACCCCTCTCTCCCTTGATGCTACAGGCCAACTCCGAGGAGATACACCCTGGGTACCAGCCCCTCTGGGAAGTCTTCCTGTGCTCCTGTACCTTCTGTCCCCACAGTCCTGCTCCAATCCCAGCTGAATCGTGGCCACCAAACATTCTTTCACTGCTTGGACTCCCACAGGAGCAGAAATCTTCTCCATTTAAAATGCCCCTGGATTCTCTGCTCTTATCTCAGTGGTTAGAATGTAAACGTGAAACAGAAACTCTGCTTTTAGACCGAAGGTCAGGAAACTACCAGCCACCACATGGATCAGATCCAGTCCGGCACCTGCTTTTGTGCCACCAACAAAGCTAAGGAGCGTTTGTGTTTTATTTTTGTATTGTTTAATAATGGAAAGAAATCAAAAGAAGAACATTCTGTGACACAGGATACTTCTATTAAGCAAATGTTAACGTCCGAAAGTGAAGTTTCAGCGCCACATCCATCCATTTGTGTATTGTCTATGGCTGTAGTGCAAAACTACAGCTGGGATTTGAGCAGTTGCTTCAGAGACCTCAGGATAGCCTGCAAAGCCTAAAATATTTGCTGTCCGGCCTTTTACAGAAAAAGTCTGATCCCTGCCTCGAGTTTTTGGCAGAATTACAGAGTGGGTGCTTAATGCACATTTCCGACCATTTCCAAAGCCTGAGCATGTTCAGCTGGGTGAAAAGTTCTCCATAATTCCAGTATCTCCATCGCCTTTATCTGAAAAAGTTGTTAGTGCTACCATTTGAGACACTTCCCCTCCTTTCTAGCTTGAAATGGAACCAGTTTTTTAAATTCTTGCTAATGCTTCCTTTCTGTATTATGTCTCTCCAACAGTCAACGCCTGTGCTGGTCTTTAAACAAATACTTCAGGTTTGAAATGCCCCACTGGTGTCTGTTCAGCTTGAGTGGAAATCTAAGGGGGAAAATTGGTCTGGGAGGAATCTGATGCTAAGGCTTCTTATTGTGGCATGTTCACTTTCCAGACTCCCTCTGCCAGTCCACAGTGTTTGTTGTGCAGGTTTGCAGCTCAAGGCTGTAAGCTTATCTGAGCCAACAGAAATGGATCTGCCCATCCCACAACTGCTGTCTTGTGTTTCTGCTCAGAGTTCAGCCTTTGTTAATTCAAACAGTTTTCTTCCTTCACTTCTTTCTTTCTTTCTTTCTT